AGGTAGCCGCTGGACTAGAGTCTACACAAGAACCTACACTAGCAACAGGCAACTGAGCAAGGCTAGCACCTAAGCTAACAACACCAGAGTAAGCAGAGTCAGAAACACTAGAGTCAACAACAGCATACATAGCATGGGGAGTACCAATCAGATCAACTAACTGCTCAGCAGACATGGCCCACAGAGCGGAGCCGTAGCGCTGAACAAGAGGCAGCCAGTCAGGGGCAGGAGCACCAACCCCGTAGACCAAACGAACCGTGTCAGTGAGCTGAGCAAAGCACTGACCAGGGGGGTGAAACCGGCCACAAGGGTGGCCACGACGAGTGCCTGTCAGAACCTGGTAGGTGCAGGGAGTGTAAGCAGCACCGCGCTGGGTCTGACGCAGCCCCGACCCTGGAGCCAGCTGCTGCCGCTGCTGCTGCTGAGGCTGCTGGGAGGAGAGGGGCTGCTGGTGCTGCAGAAGCTGCTGCTGACGCTGAGCCTGGTACCACGCCGCTGCTCCGCCAACCGGGGCAGGAAGTACAGGAGGCGACTGACGAACTCGGGCGTCGCCACCACCAGCAGGCGCAGTGGAGTCACCAGTCACTGCACGAGGCGCCTCTCCAGGCCCTGAACCTCCACCGCCGCCAGGCGCAACGCCACCTCCACCACCTCCGCCTCCACCTCCACTACCACCACCAGAACCGCCTTTCTTGCCACTCCTACCGCGGGACCGCGACGCAGTCGTAACAGCAGCTGCAGTCGCGTCAGTAGCGGCAGTGGCAAGTGAGGCAGTAAAGGTGGGTAACTGCGGGACTGTGCACCCGTGGAAGAGTGGGGGGGGCACAGCACCAGAGGCAGCGGCTACCGAGCGAAGGTTGCTCTCGACGTCCTTGAGTGCAGACTCAAGGACCTCGACGGTGAGCTCACTAGGGTGCTTCAGCAGAAGCGCGTCGCGAACGGAGGCAAGGCGGTCAGGGAGGCTAGTGGCGATGAAATAGATAGTAATCGCCATAGGGGGAGGAAGCAGTGCAAGCTGTGCCTCAGTGCAAGCAGCGCGGTAACTAGCGTCGAGCGAGCGGAGGTGAGCGATCAAGTCAGCAGAGCGCTCAAAAGACGCCAGGTCAGGAAACAGGAACGGGAGGAACAGGCGGCCAAGAGAGACAGCAGCGGGAGTAGAGTAGCGGGCCTTAATCGCAGTGAGGTACGCAGCAGCGGTGCGAACCTGAGTGAAGTGAACCTCCTCAGACTCAGGGAGGAGGCTGCTGAGCGCGATGCAGGCCGCAGCGTCACGTGACGTCCAAGCCGTCTGGTCAGCTCGCTGAGTGGCAAAGCGGGCTCTAGCGGCGTCGTCAGGGGCAGGTCCTAAAGGCGTAGGGTCGGGGGGCGCAGGTAGGGCACCAGTAGCGTGCGCCCAGAGGGACTCGCCTGCCTGGACCTGACTCTCTAACAGACGGCGAGCACGAAGAAGCCAGACGGAAAAATCAAGAGGTCTACCGTCAGCGTCGAAACGAAGGACACGCTGAGTCGCCATAGCGAAAACGAACGCGAACGGAGAGGGAGGGGACAGCAGTAGATGAGAGGCAAATTAGGGTTCGGCGGTACTCTGGGACAGGGGAGGAGCGGACGCCACAGCGGGCGTGACAGCGGGAGGTAACAGGGGACTAAGCAGCGGAGAACGAGAACGGGCGCAGCGGCGGGCGATGGCAGCGCGTACGGCAGCAGGGGCCAGCAGCGCGCGCAGCGGGCGACGGCAGGGGGGGGGGGCGCAGCGGCGACGCGCGCAGCGGCGGGCGACGACGGCGGGGCCGCAGCGAGGCGCGCAGGGGGGCGAGCGACAGCTGCAGGCGCGGCGGCGACGAGCGCGGTCGCGAGCGACAGCGGCGGGCGCTGCGGGACGGGCGACTCGACGGGGGGAGAGGGCAGGAGCGACGGGACAGGGGGAGGGCGACGTGACGGGGGGAAAGGGGCGGGTGCGACGGGACAGGGGGAAGGCGACGTGACGGGGGGAAAGGGGCGGGTGCGACGGGACAGGGGGAGGGCGACGTGACGGGGGGAAAGGGGCGGGTGCGACGGGACAGGGGGAAGGCGACGTGACGGGGGGAAAGGGGGCGGGTGCGACGGGACAGGGGGAAGGCGACACGACGGGGGGAAAGGGGGGGGGCGCGACGGGACAGGGGGAAGGCGACACGACGGGGGGAAGGCGCGGACGCGACGCGACGGGGGGAGCGCGACGCGACAGGGGGAAAGGGACGGGCGCGACTCGAGGGGGGGGGGAAGGCGACGCGAAAGGGGGGGGGGGGGGGGGCGGGCTACGCTACGAACGAGAGCGTGGCTCGGCGCTAGGCTCGGTAACAACGAGAAGGAGACGAACGAGAGCTAGGATCAGGCTCGGGTGGTACGAACGGAGAACGGCGGAACGGGATCCCACAGGATCCTAACCTAACTGATACCATGTCAAAATGAAGAATGGATGATGCATTGATGTTGGTTGGGGTACATATAGCTAACCCTAAGTTTTGTACCCCTTAAGACAAACCTCACTATAGGCTACAACATTTGACAGGAAACACAGGGTAACCAGGATAAAACCACAGAGTGAGCAGGGAGAAACCAAGGTAAGCAGGGGAGAAAGGGCAACTAAGGGGGTAAGCGAGAAAAGGGGAAGAAATGAGAGTACGGAATGAGGGGAAAGGGCAGTGATGGGAGGGAGGGAGAGAGGGGAGGAGGGCAGAGGTGGGTGTAAGGGAGAGAGGGAAAAAGAGATGGGAGTAAGGAAGAGAGGAGAAAGGGCAGACAAGGGAGTAAGGGGAAGAGGGAAAAGAGATGGGAGTTAGGGAGAGAGCGGAAAAGGCTGTGAAGGGAGTGGGGGAAAAAAGAGAAGGGGCAGACAGGAGAGTAAGGGAGAGCAGGAAAAGAGATGGGAATAAGGGAGCGAGGGGAAAGGGCAGCGAAGGGGGGAGGGGAGTGAGGGGAAAGGGCAGCGAAGGGAGTACTGGAGAGAGGAAAAAGGGCAGAGAAGGGAGTAAGGGTGAAATCCTGCCTCCCCCTGCTTATTTCCTCTCCCCACCCCCTCGTCTTCTCGCTCCTCATCCCTCCCCCCCACCCCCCACCCCCCAACCCCCCCTTGTGTTTCTTGCAGCTAATCCCCCCCCTGCCTTCTCGCTGATTCCCCCCATCCTACTTGCTGCTGACCTCCCTCGTCTATCGCAGCTTACCCCCTTGCGCTTTCTCGCCCCCATTCCCCTCGCACCTCCGCTACATCGCTGCTCATTCCAGTCCGCGCCTCGCGCCTCCTCGCTACAAATCCCGGTTTCCTTACGTTTTTTCCTGCTACTCAATCCCGGACAGCGGTGGGAGAGGGGATCTCGCTTGTGGACAGGGAGGTAGGTGAGGGGAGGTAGGGCAGGTAAGCTTGAGGGGGCAGAGAGGGCCAAGAGGACAACAAGGGAGGCGAATAAGGTGACTGGGAAATAGAGGGTAATAAGGCGGAAAGCGGGATGATGGAGAGATGGGAGTAAGGATGAACGCGTGGTTTAGGGAGAGCGGGGCATAAGGGCACAGGGGGAAGAAATGGGAGTACGGGAGAGAGGGGAAAGGGGGAAGAAGGGTGTAAGGCAGAGAGGGGAAAGGGGGAAGAAGGGAGTAAGACAGATATGGGAAAGGGGGAAACGGGGGGCAGAGAAAAGGGGGAAAAGGGCGCATTTTGAGGAGGAAAGAATGTGCGTGAAAGGGGGGGGAGACCCGAAGCAGTCGCAATGTGCGGAAACGGGAGTTGCGACCTGAAGCAGCCCCCCCTTCCCCCCCCCCACACCAGAAAATGCCTACCCCCTATCGTTTTATCGCTTCTCCTTCCATCCCCCTCGCACCTTTGCGTTGTCGCTGCTCATTTCCGTCGACGCCACCTCTCCCCGTCGCTTTACGTCTGCCCCTTGCGCGAGATTGCTGCTTGCTCCCGTCTGCCCTTGACGCGAAATCGCTGCTCCCTCCCTTTCGTGCCCATCCCGTAATCGCGGCTCAAGCCCGTCTGCGCCTCGCGCGTTATGGCGGCTCACTCCCCTTTCCGCCCCGCGCCTCCTCGCTGCTAGCGAGTCCCTTTGCCCCCCTATAATTTTTCGCTGCCCCTGGATGGTCGCGATTTAAGTGGTAGTTCGCGGCGCTCTGCACGATTGGTCACGGCTATGTGCGAGCGCCCACCGACGCGCGATGTGCGGCGGCGATCGCGACGTCGTGTGGGCGTGAAAGCAGGGAGCGCTGAGAGAGGGAAGATAAGGTGCGAGTTGACTGCGCGGTAGTCTGTCCGCCCGTTTTCCCTAGGCGCGAGCTGCGTGCGCAGTCGTGGCGAAATGCGCGCTCGGTTCTGGCGATGTGCGGGAGTGGAAGCGCTGAAGTGCAGGCGAGGTAAGGAAATTGGTCGGCGCGAAGAGAGTGTTGGGCGCGGGAGCTACGTTGATGACGGGAGAGTTGAGCACCTCTCGTAATCTAGTTTTTTACTATATGTGGCACGGCATAGAGGTGCCGTGGAACGATTATCACTTGCGTTTTGGTTCACAAAGTGCCTGGTGGCCCCAACCCAAGTTCCCAACTCCCACTTCCCTTTCGCTACTGACGGGGGAAAGATCTTGCGCGCAACTCCGCCAACACTAACCCCTCGTTCGCCTCCCACTCCCAACCACAAACCGGGTAACCACTCAACCCAAGTGATAAACCTTTGCCTCCCCCCCCCCAAAGTGCACCCTTGCTTTAATTCGTTCTCATGCTCGCGCTCGCGCTGAGTCTCACTCTCGACGTATCGTGTTGATACCCTAGTTGCACTCTCGATGGGCGTGATTGTTCCTTCCGTGCTGCTAAGTACCTACCTATGAGCTGAACTGGAAACAGGCTCTGGGTGTTTCTCGCCGACCGTCATGCCAGTGCTAACCCTAGGACAAACCTAAGACTGTACCTAGTTGTAGGCTCGTTCCGAGTTGTCGTACTCGTGCGACATCGACCTAAATCCATCAATGACTGGAGACTGGACCATGCGTACTTCTTCGCTAGTTCATGTCGTTTCCATCGCCAGCGTCGCGTTACTGCTGGTAACCCGGTCGCTAGCCGTCGGCGATCATCTAGACGGCGGGAGGTTGCAAGCAGACGAAGGTCTTAAGCGCGGTCACGAGCTCTACAAGGTGCGTCGTGAGGTGCCTCACTCTACCCCTTTGAACCGCACTCTCCCCCCATTTCCCCAACACTTGATGCGAATCCCTTTCCTCCTGACCTTTACCCTTGCTGCCAGTCCCTCTTCCCTTTTCCCCAACACGTTCTTGCGCTCACAGCAATGGGAGGAGGCATACGGGCTGCAAAAAGAGTCCCTTCTGCCCCCGGAAAAGATTTCCCTGCCCGCTGACGTGGCAGCAGCTCCGCATTTGGAGGCGTGCAGCGAGGTGTCGGCGCACAGACTGGCGGCGGAGCAGCGAGGGCCCAACGGGGAGTCCCCTGAGTGGGCTCGACCTAAAGACTGCTGCGGCTGCAACCCACAGCCTCCATGGGTGTGTATGGGTGGGGTATGGGTGGTTATGGGTGGGTATGGGTGTGTATGGGTGGCTGTGGGTGGATATGGGTTTGTATGTGATCTACATGGATTTAGAGTCGACCAGAAGTCACGTTGTGGCACACGAACGGGAGGCGAAGCATCGAGGGCCCAATGGGAAAGTCCCTGAGTGGGCTCGACTTAAGGACTGCTGCGGCTGCAACCCACAGCCGCCATGGGTGTGTATGGGATGTGATCGTCTCATATTTACAAGTGTGTACACATTATTAGTCTCTGTCACCTTGTTCTTTAAGAGGCATTACAAAATATCAGGCTTTATCAGCAATGCCATGTCCCTTAAAGCCTTATCAGCGATGAGGGCCTGCTGATAAAACCTGAAAATTTGCTGTTAAAGCCTGATATTTTGCTGATAAACCCTGATGTTTTGCTGATAAAGCCTGAAATTTTGCCAATAAAGCCTGATATTTTGCTGATAAAACCTTATATCTTGCTGATAAAGCCTGATATTTTGCTGATAAAGCCTGATGTTTTGCTGATAAAGCCTGATAATTTACACATTACCAGTCTCTGTCCCCTTGTTCTTTAAGGGGCATTACAAAATGTCAGACTTTATCCCTCTGTTCCCCATCGCATCACCTTACCTGCTCGTGACGTCAAACACCTGTCCCGCCGCCTGGCCCCTGTCTCCCCCGTTCTCTCCCTCTCATCCTTCTTCCTCCTTGCAGATTCGCGGGTCAGACGCAGCCAATCTGGGCATGACACGTGTGGCACAGAGGGACATCTGGGAGCATCAGTTCCCGCCCAATCGGTGTGAGGGGCGGCGCCTGCTCATTGCTCACTGGGCGTACATCGCCCATGGGATCGGATCTCAGGTGAGTGAGTGTGATAATGGCGCTAGTAGTGAGATAGGCATTACATTTCGCTTGTGCACTGCCTGCTCATTGCTCTCTGGGCGTACATTACATCTCCTTCCTTCCCCCTCCTTCTTCCCCCCTGGCTGCACAGTTGCACATAATAACGGCCATTCTCAGCCTGGCCATGCGCCACAACCGCACGCTGGTTCTCCAGTATCCGTCGTTTGATCGTGCCAAGCACGACGAGTGCAATGGTGAGTCTGCTTATAGCGAGTACGATGGTGAGTGTGCTTATAGCGAGTGCAGTGGTGATTGTGCTTATAGCGAGTACGATGGTGAGTGTGCTTATAGCGAGTGCAGTGGTGATTGTGCTTATAGCGAGTGCAGTGGTGATTGTGCTTATAGCGAGTACATCATTGTCAATGAGCCAGTCACGCGCTACTGTCCAATGCCCATCCCCTCGTCGCCCTGCTCTCACATATACTTCCTCACCCTACTCGCCCATTCCAGCCACAGGAGCATGGGGTTCGTTCAACTGCTACTTCTTCCCTCTCACCTCCCCTGACTGTGAGGCCATCGCTCTCTCTCAGTGACAAGATTTATCTCCCCGTTTGGCCACCCCTTCCTCCCTTCTTCACCCACACCAGCCACAGGAGCGTGGGGCTCGTTCAACTGCTACTTCTTCCCTCTCACCTCCCCTGACTGCGAGGAGGTCGCCCTCAAGTCCAACAGCACTGGGTCGCTTCCCCCCTGCTGCACGCCCAGCAACAAGGAGGAGGTGCTAGCATCGGACCACCCCATTGTGTGCTTCCACGGGGAGCCCTTCAATGGGCTTCAATTCGAAGCCAGCATTGCTAGGTACGTGAGGGGGGGTGGCGCAACAGCAGTGGTCTCTGATCACCCAGCACCCAGCACCCCCAGCACGCCCAGCAGCAAGGACGAGGTGCTTGCATCGCACCACACCACCCCATCGTGTGCTTCCATGGGAAACCCTTCAATGGGCTTCAATTCGAAGCCAGCATTGCCAGGTAAGGGGAGGTCAGGTCAGGTTAGGTTAGGTTAGGTAACTACAGCAGCGGGTCTTTGATCACCCAGCACCCACCACCCATCACACCCAACTGCTGCACGCCCAGCACCAAGGAGGTGCTTGAGTCAGAACCATAGACATGAGGAGACGGGAGGTGCTTGCATCAGGTCAGACCACCCCATCGTGTGCTTCCATGGGGAGCCTTTCAATGGGCTTCAGTTTGAAGCCATCATCGCTAGGTGAGCGTGGGGGCAACAACAACAGTAGCAGCTCTTTGATCACAGCTCCCACCACCCATCACACCCAGCACCCGCCACTCCCACCACCTGCTGCACGTCCAGCAGCAAGGAGGAGGTGCTCGCATCGCACAACCCCATCGTGTTCTTTCAAGGGGAGCCCTTCAATGGACTTCAGTTCGAAGCCAGCATTGCCAAGTGAGGAGAGTAACAGCAGCAGATCTTTGATCACCCACCACCCACCACCCACCACCCACCACCCACCACCCACCACCCACCACCCGCCACCCGCCACCCGCCACCCACCACCCGCCACCCACCACCCACCACCCGCCACCTGCCACCTGCCATTCCCAGCACCCGTCATGCTTAGCACTTTGCATTGTGATGCAGGCGGCGGTTCGCGTCCTACTTGCAGCGACATGTTTAGACGCTTCAGCGCGTACGCTTACGTACGTTTTTCATTTACGTTTACGTACGTTTTACATTTACGTTTACATACGTTTTACGTTTACGTTTTCGTACGTTTTACGTTTACGTTCGCTTTACGTTTACGTTTATGTGCATTTAACGTTACATGTGCGGATCAAATATATGTTTACATGTGCGGGCAGATCACTAACATTGTTGGGCTGCCCAACAAACAATCTTGTACCCACTTTTCGGCTATAGATGCACAACCAAAGGGTGTTTCAACCACCACCCAAATCTCTTGCGGTGATGGGCCATGTGCTGGTTTACCAATTCGAGCACACTTTTCCCCCTCCTCCCACTCACATTATTGCATCATTGTTTATTTCAGATCCTGCCTCTTGTCCTGCGACCTTAGTCGATGGCCCCGCTTGACAATTTTTTTCCCTGCCCGGACATCTGTTACGCGAATTTGCGCGTACGTACGCTTACCTTTATGTTTACGCGTAACATAACGATAACGTGGTTCCAAAAACGTATGGACCCAACTTAGGCCAGTGGGGCACGGCCTACTTGTAGGCTGGAGCAAAATGAAATGACTCAGCATACAAGTCCCTCTCCCATCCCCCTTGTGATGCCTTGCCTTGCAGCCAGTGGGGCACGGCCTACCTGGAGCGACCCAACATGATAAATCTTCAGGGGCAGGTGGAGAGAGGCGTTTGAAAGAGTCTCAGCTGTATTGTGTGTGTGCTTCTTTGCCTCTCCCTTCCCTGCCCCTGCCTGCCCCCATCAGCCAGTGGGGCACGGCCTACCTGGAGCGACCCAACATGATAGAGCTACAGGGGCAGGTGGAGAGGGACAACCCGCAGCACCTCAAGGTGCGACTTGTGTAGAGTGGAGTGCGGTGACGTGGGTCGGTGGAGAGGTGGTGTGCGGTGTTGTGTTGAAAGGCGTGATGGAGCTGCAGGGGCAGGTGAAGAGACACATTCCCATGCATGTCCAGGTGAGAAAAGCGTAGGGTGGGGTGCGGTGATATGGGTCAATGGAGAGGATGCTGCAGTGCTGTGGGTGGATGGACAGGTGGTGTATGGTGACCCCCGCTGTATGGTGATGTGGTAGTTTGGTTGGCGTTCCAGGGAGGCCCTCGCTGTACCTCTCTGCCCCCACCGCACCACCTCCATGCAGTCTACTGTCTACGCCACCACCTCCCACTCCCTGTTCTCCCCCCCCCTTCACTCCCTCCCAGGTGCACTGGTGGCGCAGCCAAGCCCTGCGATTCATGTTGCGATGGCCCTCGCCGTACCTCTGCCATCTCACCAACCGCATCCGCCACGGCGCCTACGGGCTGCGCGTTGCCACCCACACCGTGCAGGCCCGCGATCGCAGCGCCGCCCTCCTCCGACTCTACAACGACCACCTCGCTGCTGCCTCCCCCTCTTCCCTCTCCGCCTCTGCTGCTGGGACTGGCGCTACTGCTGCTGCTGCTGCTGCTGCTGTTGCTGGTGCTGCTGCTGCTGGGACTGATGTGGTGTCCTCAACGTCTCTCCGCCCCTTTAGTATCAACCACACCGATCCATCTTTCCTTTCCTTTGCCGACCCATCCATGCAACTCCGGGCCTGGCCCGGGCTCGGCGTCGCCAGCTGCTCAGGCTCGGCAAGCTCTCCAGGGCCTGCGCCCAGCTTCCGAGCCTATTTGACGAGCCTGTACGAAGGGGTCGGGCGAGAGGTGTATATGCCTCGGCCGATGGTGAGCCTGCACATTCGGCAGGGCGACAAGGGGAGTGAGATGAAGCTGAGCTCTTTCAACTCCTTCATGTTCTATATGCACCGCCTCAGACTCCACGTTCCTGACATCCGATTCGTGTGGATCAGCACTGAAATGCAGGTGAGGCCGTCTTTAGGTGAGGTATACCCAAGGTTAGGTAGGCAGTCTCTATGTGTGGTATACGCAAGGTTAGGTAGGCAGTCTCTAGGTGATGTATACGCAAGGTTAGATAGGCAGTCTCTAGGTGATTTATACGCAAGGTTAGATAGGCAGTCTCTAGGTGAGGTATTTCCAAGGTTAGGTAGGCAGTCTCTTGGTGAGGCATTTCCAAGGTTAGGCAAGCAGTCTTTAGGTGAGGTATTCCCAAGGTGACGCGGTCTCAAAATTAGGTGTTCCCAAGGTGAAGTGTTCCCAAGGTGAGGAATCCCTAAGGTGAGGTGTTCTCAAAGAGAGGCAGGGGTGGGGTGAACCTCCCCTCCCCCAGGGCACACTCACTCTCTTCTCCCAAATACCCAAGGTTAGGTAGGCAGTCTCTATGTGTGGTATACGCAAGGTTAGGTAAGCAGTCTTAGGTGAGGTATACGCAAGGTTAGATAGGCAGTCTCTAGGTGATGTATACGCAAGGTTAGGTAGGCAGTCTCTAGGTGATGTATACGCAAGGTTAGGTAGGCAGTCTCTAGGTGATGTATACGCAAGGTTAGGTAGGCAGTCTCTTGGTGAGGTATTTCCAAGGTTAGGTAAGCAGTCTTTGGGTGAGGTTCCCAAGGTGACGCGGTCTCAAAATTAGGTGTTCCCAAGGTGAAGTGTTCCCAAGGTGAGGAATCCCTAAGGTGAGGTGTTCTCAAAGAGAGGCAGGGGTGGGGTGGACCTCCCCTCCCCCAGGGCACACTCACTCTCTTCTCCCTCTCCATACTGTCCACCTTTTTTTCCCCCATTTTTTCCCCTTCCCCCACACGCACACCCCGAACCCACCTCTCCTGTCCAGTCCGTTCAATCAGCGCAGTTCAAGGACTGTACCTTCTTTTACTCACAGAACGAGAGGCAGCTGGGCAACCCTCCTCCACCCCACGCACTCTCTCTCTTCCCCCCTCCCCTCCCAGTCTGTGATCGACCAATCAGCACAGTTCAAGGATTGGACCTTCTTCTACTCACAGAACGAGAGACAGCTGGGCGACATGCGGCTGATCGACTACGAGAAGAAGGCAGGCAGGGCGCAGCTGGTGGGGGTGAGCTTTGCCAACCTGATTATTTCGTCGGAGTGTGACTACTATGTGGGCGTGCTTGGGTCCAACTGGAACCGTCTGATCAATGAGATGCGGGCCACGAGTGGCAGGGTGTTTGCTGGGTATGTCGCGATCAACAATGGTGAATTCTAGATGTGGCCTATGAACGGTCTGGTTGTGACCGCTTCGGCGTGCTGAAAATTTTGTATGAGAACAGAACAGGTAATGGTAACGGTATGAAGGCAAAAGGGTGTGCCAATGGGCATGCCGCTGCAATCAACTCAACCAAATGGAGGTACACACATCTCCAGGCCACAGGTCTGCAAATGAGAGCAATTCTGCACTCAGTGAAGGAATCAAAACATTAATGTACCGATTCCCCCAGTTCAGGGGCTGCTGATCCTATTCTGGGGTCTCAACTCAACCAACACAATACAACAGAGCAAGGTACGGTGGCCATTGTATAGACTTTTGCTATAGTTGCCATTGTATTGACTCATTGTGCAGTGCCCTCAGAAGTCTTTACTGGAAAAGCGGGCAGGGATTTCAAACACTTCGTCTGCCCCCCATCTCACCTTCTTCTGCCCCTGCACCTGCTCTGCCATGCCACCCCTCCTCAGGTTGGATGGCTTCGTCAAAATCACGGCTCCGTTAACACACGTTCCAGACCTCGTTACATGCACGTTGTGAGGGTTTGCTGGTGCCTCGCCAACGTCACTGGAGGTTCGGCGGATGCCAGACGTATTACGGTTTGGCAAGCCCCCTGCTTGGCTGGTGACATCATACGAAAATGAACGGCTGAAGTTTTGTTGCTGCCCGCTGCTGCTGCCCGCTGCGGTGCCTAGTTTCAAGGATCCCAGGCCCTGGCGAATCGCCTGAGTGACATCGCCAGCAAGTTCGTCAGACGGATTTCCATTCGCGACCCAGCCGCTGGTAACTCCCGGCTGCCCATCATTGGCCGCGGGAATTGAGAAAGGTGGGAATTCGGCGCAAAACGCCGAGACCGCAACTTCCGCAGCTGCGTTAATTTCACGCGCACAATCTCCTTCCGCGCGCTGTTCCGCTTCTGCTTCCGCGTGTGCTGTGCTCGTAGTTTGCGCCCTTAGCTCCGCGAGTCTTTTGAGCTCCGCGCCACTTTCGGATGGCGCGAGCGGTGGGAGGGTTTGCGCGAGAGAGGGGGAGAATAGAGACAGCCACGCGCGGTGCTTCCGCCGCTGCTCATCCAAGGCCAGCAGCGGATGCTGCTTTGCCGCCGCTTGCGCCAGCTGCCCTTGTTGCGATTCGCGCTGCTGTTGCTGCAGCCGTGGCGAAAGCGCGAAAGGAACAGCGTGTTGAGGCGCCCCGAATGACCTGATTTGATGCAACGGCTGAATCTGAACCGTGGGCGGCGCGCAGCTCGCGGGGCCGCTTATAGCGGGTATGGTCCGCCACGTACTGTCAGACACCACGGGCGCCTTCGGCGGGAGTGGCGGAAGATGCAACGTCCTCGGCTTCGCGATGCTAATCCTCTCTGTTACAACGGGGCTGCTTATAGGCGACGCGAGATCACTCGCACAGCTATCGACTGACGTGGCGGGCGACGTCGGACCGCCCGTCAGGACAGACGAAGGCGAAGACTCCAGATGAATCCGGTTACCGGGTTTACCCCCGCGACCTCCGCCGCCACTCGCGCCGCCGCTGTTAATGTCCTCCATCGAGCAGCTTCGGCGAAACTCTCGCTTGCCGCCTCTCGAGTCGCCGCAAAGGCCGCCGAGGTTTCTGTCGCTAGCCGAGGCTCGCAGCGGCGAATGCGATAAGTTTCCGCGAATACCGGCAGAAGGGGACGCGAAGCTGTCGTTCGCGCCGGCGCTGCGATTGTCAGCAGTCGCAGTGCGATGAAGCATCAAGTCGTCAGTGGAACAAGAGGCGTCGATTATCCAATCCAGAAGCAGCAGCTCGTCCGCGATTTCTCCGCTCTCCCCGGACGCCGCCATTTCCAGGCTTCTTCCGCCCACATCGGATTGCGCCTCCGCGGGAGACTTTCCGCCGCCGCACTCTTCCGCAGTAGGCACACGGCATTGTGCGCCCATCTCGCGTTCGACGGTGGGCGCCGCGAAAGGGAAGCACGGCATGGCTGCTGCAGGATCGCGCAACGGCTCTTCCGCGACGCACAGAGGCTCGAAAGCGAGAGTGGACATGGTTGCGGGAGCGAGTTGCGGCCGCAGATGTGGAGATGTGCTACTCGCTGAGATGTGGAGATGCGCTGAGAATTGTGTCCGATGATGTGCGAATGACCAGCGCTGCAGAATGTTTCTCCAGGGGTCTCAAGTATCGGAGTAAACCGCTGCGCAAGGGAAGCAACGCTGCGCGAGAATTTCACTGCGCAAAGACAGCGACTTTTTAGTGCTCACAAGAAATGACGATTCAGATGTGGTTGCTGTTGAAGTTCTCTTGCGTGTGAATGTATAGTGCGACGCCGAATAAACCACACACTATGCGATACGGACGTGGGCATGCGGCAGGGGCGAAATTGAGAGGAGCGGTTCCAAACCACGAACTCAATGCTGCCAACTAAATCTGGTCGGGATTTCCGCGCTTTTCCGGCAATCCCAAGGCCACAGAGAATCACTCAGAAGGTCCGAGACAACACACCAAACCAAGCGAAAGTGCACTGCGGTTTTTACTGGTCCGATTGAGGAGGTCAGCGCGGTACTGTATGGTTTCCAGCCCTGGACCGCTGTTGGACAAGGCAGCTCCTTCACAAGTTGACAGAGTCACAAGGCTTTGAACAAGTCTCATCCAACAGAGTCTCCGATGTGGGCACGAATGAATCTGCTCTTGGAGGGCCAACCCTGCGACCAATTTCATGCACACACGCAGAGGAAGCAGTCCTGCCTGCATGTGTCTGTGGTGGTGGTGGTGGGGGGGGGAAGGGGAGGAGCGGCATTCTGGTTGGTCGAAAAGATGACGTGATACTGGTTGTGTGTATCCATGATTCGCAACATGTGATGGTGGTGCATCCATTCTGTCACGCGATACAGTATCATGTCTATCTCTTCCAGACGTACAGTACAGTACAATGCGGAGATCAACACGTTTTTTTCAGAAGGTTTGTCGAACTGACTCCGCACCCCATCCACTCATGCGGGTGTCTGCTGGGGTACTGCCGCATCGTGTTCCTACCGCTTCTGCACGTAATCCTGTGGGTATGTATAACTGGATCGTGAATTTGATGTCTATTACAGACTTTCACCCTACAATGTTTGAGAAGCTATGGGTGTTCCTTACCACTTTTCACAGCGCAATCTTGGGCGCCGCAGTCCGTTTCCCGCCCTTTCATGCTTGGCTTGGAACACAAAAGGACCCACAAATCCGATGCTTGGGTGCAGCAGCATGCCGCTGCCATTTGATTGCATCACGCTCCAAGACGGGTGGCGTGAAGGAAACCAGACACTGTACATCCATCTGTATGGATGCGTTCCGGACGGTGCGTGTACTGAAACAACCTTGAGCAAATAAAACTCATAACGTCATATCTCAGGTGCTAAACTTAGGAGAAATATGAGGAGTGTACACCCAGATGTGAAAACAGCTCATATTTTTGGAACTTGACACTGTTCAATTTACGTAAAATGCAGTCGTCGTGACGTGACGGGACTCGTGATGGTCAGCATGTGCCGTTCACAGAGGACACATCAACAATCATTAGCGTCTGCTGCAGATTTTTCAGTCGTGTTCAATGCTGCATCGATAACGCTGATTCGCTCTTTCTAGCAGAAAATGAGCGGGAAGGCCTTAGGTGACAAAGCACCTCGTCAGCAACCAGACTGATCTGTCTGGAAAGTCTCTGAGCCAGGTCAGCAACCCAAAAGATACCTTGGTATGGATGGCGTGATATTTTCGGCTGAAAATATCTGGCTACCCTATATATCAACGGAATAACGAGGGGGTATCACAACAAGTGGTGTGTGTATATAAATAGTCCGCAGGTTTTGACTTGTCTAGTGAGCTTATGGCATTTACGCGTCTCTTATAACTTTATCTGATCCGTTGCATGGTCTCTAACGCTTTGTAAACTCGACCAAGTCCGACCAGGAGCCACTCTCTCCTACTATATAGTGTGAATAGTCTGAGGATTCAGGCATATTATTCACTGTCCTTTGGTTTTAAAAAAATACGTTTTGCTTTTTAATTAAATCGATTCGTAAAATATTATACGGTACTCGCGTTTTAGTGAGTTATGACTTTACGGAGTACCAAATTCCTGGTCCCCGAATGCGACTCTATCAGGCCTGATTGGTCGTTTTCAAATCAGGCGTCAACATGTGAGCAATCCCTAGCGTTGGGCGAATTTGCCAGCATTGATCTCGCACTTCACCCTTCCAGCGAGGCGACATTTGCTTGGCATCGCACGGCTTCTCAGAAGCGTTCGCAACGCTTCGTCAAGCAGGTTACATTTCGATAAACTTACCAATTTCCCGCTAAGAAAAGACTGGCTTCCAAACCAGATTCCTTCCATCCAAACTCGAGGCATCCATCCAACACACACATCCTGCCACTACTATTTTGCACACTGAAGGTTCCTGATTTCTTGACTTCAACCCGCAGCCTGAATTACAAAAAAAGTTGGGAGGTGTTAACACTTTCCCTCCCGAACCAGGGTGGTTACCAGTTGTTCACCTGCAAAACGTGATGAAGTCGCAGGCAGCTCAGGGGAGTGTCGCTCGGTTCCTGCGCAACCACTCTGGCCAGAGGTCGGAGGTGTGCACACCAAACTGGAAATATGTAATTCAGGTCGTTCGAAACTACCTAGTCTGATCAGCTAGAGCTGCAGCCACAGCTTAGAACAGCTAGGCTCCAACCCCATTCCAACCCCAGGCCTCTTATTTCCGCCTTACTCGTTAGGACTATTACTCCATTCCGTCCAATCCGGAGATATATTTTTCCGCGATTCTAGGTCACGTTTTCACTCGACTTAGCTAGCCGTGCCCATGGATGCACATGTGCCCATTGTCGCCCTGGTTGCACCTCCCCATCGCCCACCGCATCATGTCGCCCCTGTTCATAGCCGCGGCGTCCTCTTTGTGCGCGGTATTAAGATTTTATCCAACTACTTCGTCGCATTCGCTTCTTTTCCCCGACGAGAACACTCGGTCCCCTTCCATCCCACACACTCACTCCCCTCCATCGCTCACGCTTCCTCGCTCAAACGAGCACGCTCCCTCCTCCGTCGTGGATTACAAATTCCTTCCCGTCTCCCACGCGCACTCCCCGAGACCGAGCACGCACACTCCCTTCCGTCGCCCACGCGCACTCCGTTGCCGCCGCCCACGCGCACTCCCTTCCGGCGCCCACGCGCACTCCGTTCCCGCCGCCCACGCGCACTCCTTTCCCTCGCCCACGCGCACTCCGTCCCCGCCGCCCACACGCTCTCCCTTCCGTCGCCCACGCGCACTCCGTTCCCACCGCCCGCGCTTTCTCCCTTCCCGTCGCCCACGCTCACTCCCTTTCCATCGCCTTAACGCAATCCTTCCGTCGCACACGCTCACCCCCGCTCGTCGCACATGGCCACTCCCCTCTCGTCGCACGCTGCCGCCCGCGCCGCACACTCCCTTTCAATCTCCTTCCGCCGTCTACGCGCACTTCCTCCTGTCACGCTCGACGACTCCCCTTTCGCCCCCCACGCTCACTCCCTCCCGCCGCGACGGTCCCCTCCGTCGCCCACGCCCACTCCCTCTCGTCGCCCACGCTCACTCTCTCCCGTCGCGAAAGCGCGTGCCCCTTCCGCCGCCCACGCTCACTCCCCTGTCGTCACACACGCAACGACCCAACCTCCACCCTTTCTCCCTTCTCATCCCCACCCTTTCTCCCTTCTCGTCTCCAACCTTTCTCCCCTCAGGCTAGAGTTAGTGTCAGCGCATGCAGCGTACGACAAGACAGCGGTTTATTTCCAGGTGCAGCGCCACCCCTCACCTCCCCATCCCTCACCTCCCCACCCCTCACCTCCCCATCCCTTACCTCCCCATCCCTCACCTCCCCATCCCTCACCTCCCCATCCCTCACCGCCCCATCCCACACCTCCCCATCCCTCACCTCCCCATCCCTCACCGCCCCATCCCACACCTCCTCATCCCTCACCTCCCCATCCCTCACCTCCCCACCCCTCACCTCCCCATCCCTCACCTCCCCATCCCTCACCTCCCCATCCCTCACCTCCCCATCCCTCACCTCCCCATCCCACACCTCCCCATCCCTCATCTCCCCATCCCTCTCCTCCTCCCCATCCCGCATCTCCCCATCCCTACTGCTGTTGCTGTGAATGATAAGGAAACCCGCCCTGTGTCCCCTCCCCTCACCCATCTCCGCCTCACCCCATACGTCGCCTACCCACCTGCCATAGCCATTCCGTCCCATTGCACCCCGTGGCATCGTCACACCTCGCCACGATCTCCCTGCCTTCCTACTTCTCATCCTCATCCTCCACTCCACCCCGTCCGCTCTCCTCCCTGCTTCTTCCCATTTTCCTCCTCGCCGAAAGGTTCTTCCCCATCACCTCCCTACCGCACTACCATGCGCAATGCCTCTTTCCCTTCCGCCGTTACTCCAAATTTTTTTTCTTACCTCCTTCGCACACTCCCCTCCTCTCTGCCCCCCGTCCAGGGTTTCCCTCAGTGGGAGGCTCCTTCTCAGCCACATGGCAGCTGCCGGGCGGCATCACGCATGGGCCATGCATGTACAACCTAAATCTCCGCCTCCTCGCCTTATCTCCGCCTCACTCAATCTCCTCCTAACCCCCTCCGAGCATCCGATTTACACAATCTTGTTTGTACCCCCCCCCCCTCCCCCCCCCCCCATGCATTTGGTTCTGGAATGTTGGTCGTTTGGTAGGACCACTAGGTATGACACATAGCCATTCCCATGCTGTATGTTTATTATTAATAATCAATTTTGATCCATGGAGTACTGTGACCATTGACCACCTACAAAGTGCAACGAACGATCTAGTTCTAAAAGAACAAAGTTACTCAACAATATGTATCTTCCCAGTCTTGTCTGCACACACAGCACAAAAATATTCACCACTTTTCTTTCCCTCCCTACACCTGGTGCTGGGCACCTGTACATTGCATGGGGGGAAACCGCGTAAGCAGGAAAAGACAGAGTGCAGGGGAGACAGTGAGCAGGGGGAAAGAGAGTGATTAGGGGAAGAGGGTGAGGATGATGAAAGGGAGTGAGCAGAGACGGAAACGGAATGAGGAGGGGGTAAGAGAGACCAAGGGGAAAGGGGGTGGGCATGGGGAAAGAGAGTGAGCAGGGGAAAAGAGGGTGGGCATGGGGAAAGGGAATGAGCAGGGGATGCGAGAATGAGCAGCGGGGAAGAGAATGAGCAATGGAGAAAGAGAGTGAGCAATGGGGAAACGGAATGAGGAGGGAGGAAGAGAGAGAGCAAGGAGGAAGAGAGTGAGCAGAGGGGAATAGAGTGAGGAAGGGGGAAGAGAGTGAGGAGGAGAGGGGAGAGAGAGCAAGGAGGAAACAGAGTGAGGGGGGGGGGGAAAGGGAGTGAGCAGGGGGAAACATAGTGAGCAAGGGCGAAGAGAGTGAGCAAGGGGGGAGCAGATTGAGGAGGGGGGAACAGATTAAGGAGGGGGGAAGAGAGTGAGCAGGGGGTTACAGAGTGAGGGAGGGAGGAAAGAATGAGATAGGGGAAGGAGGCATCCGCAAAAAAGAAGCAGCAGCGATTGAAGGGACAATAGGGGTGAGAAGGTGATTTGAAGGAATGGGAAGGTGAAGGGGAGGAATAGGAGGGTAAAAAGGGAGATAATTAGGCTCGGAGGCTGGTAGGATGGGAGGAAGGAAGGAAGAGTGAAATGCGAGTAGTTTTTTTCGCATAAGAGGACGAGGGTGAGAGTGAGGGTGGGGAAATGGAGGGGGTAAACACGGGCATTAGGAAGGGTAGCGAAGGCGCCGGGGGGGGGGGGGGGGGGGGGGGGGGGAACGAGGGCGACGGCGCGAGGGAGGGGAATGGGCATGGGCGACGGGGGAAGGAAGAGAGGGCGAAGAAGAGGGGAAGCTCGACAAAGAGTGGGCGGTGGGAACGAGAGCGACGTCGACGGGAAGCGAGGTCGACGGGAGGGGGAAAGCGAGGTCGACGGGAGGGGGAAAGCGAGGTCGACGGGAGGGGGAAAGCGAGGGCGAAGAGAGGGGGAAAGCGAGGTCGACGGGAGGGGGAAAGCGAGATCGACGGGAGGGGGAAACCGAGGGCGACGGACGGGGAGGCGGCGATGGCGACCCGCAAGGCGAGGGTGGTAGGCAGGGAAGAGGCGGTACGTGACGGGCGCGGGAAGCGAGGGCGGCGGGCATGGGAAGCAAGGGTGACGGGAGGGGAGAAGCGAGGGCGGGCGGAGGAAGCAAAGGCGATGGGCGGGGAGGAGGCGAGGCGACGGGCGCAGCGAAGGCGGTGGGCGGGGAGGAGGCGAGGCGACGGGCGCAGCGAAGGCGGTGGGCGGGGAGGAGGCGAGGCGACGGGCGCAGCGAAGGCGGTGGGCGGGGAGGAGGCGAGGCGACGGGCGCAGCGAAGGCGGTGGGCGGGGAGGAGGCGAGGCGACGGGCGCAGCGAAGGCGGTGGGCGGGGAGGAGGCGAGGCGACGGGCGCAGCGAAGGCGGTGGGCGGGGAGGAGGCGAGGCGACGGGCGCAGCGAAGGCGGTGGGCGGGGAGAGTAAAGGCGACGGGCGGGGGAAGCGAGGTGGGCAAGCGCTAATATCTCCCGTGCCGACCATATTCTACGTGCGTCACACTCGCAGTCAGCGCCTTCGATTCCCTTCGATTGCATATCCGCTGTGCACCTTCTATTCGATCGTCACTAATTTGTGTTCACTTGATATGCCTGGCTGTTGTGCGCGATGCTTGGATCCTAAAAAGCTAGTGTCTGAGTAGTTAGCTTGTTCTGTCGCACAAGTTTTCCAGCTCTCTGGGGCTGTTAGCAGATTGGGGGCGAACTGTTGGGTTGCGATGTCTGATATCCCCTCGTTGACTCACGGGAGCGTCGCATCTTGTGTCGCTAACCATTTTTGCTTTCGCAATTCGTCCGCACCTCATATTGCCCGAACCCCAGACCTACCGAACCAAGCGTTGACTCAGTTTTTGTGATTCAGGCTCCGGGTTTTAATTTTTAGTCAACCGCCTGCAGAACGCCGCGTCACTGGTGTTACCATGGCGGCTTCACTATCCCGTGGCGGTGCTGCATTGGCGGTTGGTGCCCGGGTGCGACAAACAGATATGTGCCAGAGCCATGCCTTCAAAGTAGCCTCGTTTGATAAGGTCGCATGCCTCTCCCGAGGGTTTTCTAGCGTTCAAAGACTCGTTCGTACTTCCCAATGGCCTGATCCATCCTCCTGCCGTCAAGCACGCTCTCGCCGTCAAGTATTCGCTCAGGCAGCGTCAACCGCGTCTCCGGTAACCACCACACCCGGTCAGACGGAGCGCGTATTACACGAGCTGCCGTCGGGTTACAAAATGGAGGTTCTGATTCGTCGAGCGGACTTAGACGCCAAGGCCGTGGGTGCCTATCCGGAGCAGCAGCTACCGCCATTGGTGTTTATCCATGGAAGCTACCACGCCGCGTGGTGCTGGGCTGATAAGTGGATGCCGTATTTGTCGGCGCTGGGATTTGACTGCTTCGCTATAAGCATCCTCGGTCAGGGTGGAAGCGACGTGCCTAACGCTCCTGTGGCTGGGACCATTCAGGTGCGAAGTGATAATGGTGAGAGGTTATGGCGAGTGGTGATAATGACAACATGGGATAATGCTGAAACGTGTTTGGCAAGATGTGACATATGGCGAGAAGTGATCATGTTGAGGGGTGATAATGTCGAGGGTTGATTACGGAAAAGGGTGATAATGGTGGAGAGGTGGAAGGAGATCCCGAATGCAGGCTTCCCCAAAGCTGTGAATGTGTAGGATGTACGAAGGTGTTCCAATGATGTGAAAGCTCCTGCGGTTCACAGAGAGGCAAGCCAGGCTGACGTCAGGTGCAGATGTGTTTGGCGTGTGGATTCCACATGTATCAAGCTGAGTGAGCCAGGGTAATAAGTCTCCGACTGAGCTACGGACACACACACACACACACCTACTCCTCTTAAACTTTCCAACAGCTTGTTCGGGACTATATGTTTGGTTGGAAGCTTCTGAGCTAAAGCTGTTAGGCTTAATCAGGAGGTAGACTGCTTGCTCTATTTTGTGACTTCCAGCTGCTAATGCGTTATTTGAGCTCCATGGCAAAGGCTGGAACAGAGACGGACGATTCTCAGACCTGATGCTTGTTGCCGCGTGCTTCTTTTCCATTCCCTTCTGTTGCACCCATCCTCCGCATGGCGCCTGGGAAACGCAGTCCCACGCTGCTGACGTGTCAAACGTTATCCGCCAGCTCGTCGGCCGGCCGCCAGTCTTAGTTGGACACTCGTTCGGTGGGCTGATTGTGCAGGCGTATCTTGCTGACGTGGCAAAGGACTGGGAGAGCAGCAAGGATGGTGGGTGGTTATTTGCTGACAGGTGAAGGTGGCTGGGTGGGAGCCTCATTGTGATTGGTGCGTGCATCGTGCGTGTGATTGGGGCCCCCTCTCAGAGAAATCAAATGTCCGCTCTTTCCCTCTCTTCCCTCCCGCGTCTCCCCCTATTTGATTACCCCTCTGTCTCTCGTCCCACAAAACCCAATCTACCCTCTCTACCGGTCTTGACCATTCAGAACCTCCCTCCACCCTTTCTGGTTCGCCCCTTGTTTCTCCCGTTGGTCAGACGGAGTCCCCTTCGCCCCTCTAACGGGGGCTGTGCTCGCCTGCTCTGTGCCGCCCACTGGCAACATGTGAGTGTGACAGAAACGGGGGGAATAGGGTGTGGCGGGTGGGGGGGGGGGGGGGGGGGGGGGGGGGGGGGGGGGGGGGGGGGGGGGGGAAAGGAAGGATTGGGGTGGGATAAGCCCGGTGGATCTCAGGGGGCCATCCGAGTGTGTGAATGCAGAGAGCTGTTAAGTGCCACTTGTGCCTTTTGAGAATTCTGTAAAGTGCCGTGCCACTTGTGCATGCACCCCACCCTATTGCCCCAACTCATCCCCCTCCTCCCCACCCCGTCCCTCTTCTTTATCTCTCCCCTCCCTTATCTCTCCCCTCCCTTATCTCTCCCCTCCCTTATCTCTCCCCTCCCTTATTTCTCCCCTCCCTTATCTCTCCCCTCCCTGATCTCTCCCCTCCCTTATCTCTCCCCTCCCTCATCTCTCCCCTCCCTTATCTCTCCCCTCCCTTATCTCTCCCCTCCCCGCACAAACCCCATCCCAGGGAACTTGTGAAGCGCTACAGCGCACACGCCCCATCCTGCTGCTCTTACCCATCTTCCTTCCTCTCCCCACCCCCTCGTCCCCCCTCTTGTCTCCTGGGGAGCTGGTGAAGCGCTGCATGCGCCCCATCCTGGTGAAGCGCATGCGCCCTTCGCTGTTGCTCCTAACCACTTTCGTTTCTCTCCATGACATCCCTCCTCCTCTCTCCCAGGGAGCTAGTGAAGCGCTACATGCGCACGCGCCCCATGCTGTCCATCAAGATCACCCTCAGCCTCGCAGCCAAGCTCTTCCGCTCCTCGCTCTCCCTCTGCCGCGACTCCTTCTTCTCCCCCGCCCTCCCCGAGGCCGACGTGAAGCGCTACCAGGCACTTCTCTCCGACAGCAGCAAGCTGCCCCTGTTCGACCTCAGGCTGCTGAATGCGTCGCTCCCCGTGGCCAAGCCGCCGGCCTACTGCCCGCCTGTCATGGTGCTGGGTGCTGCTGATGACGTCATTGTGGTGAGTTACCAGGGGAATGGTGATGGCTTGATGGCTGGATGACTGGATGACTCCTGTGCGGCTATGTGCTGGGGTACCAGGGGTACTGGGGCTCCTGGGGACACGAGAGGCTCTGCCAGGCGCTGCTGACGGACAGCAGCAGGCTGCCCCTGTTTGAGTTGAGTAGAGGAGTCTCAACGCGTCCCTCCCCGTGGCCAAGCCGCCGGCCTACTGCCCGCCTGTCATGGTGCTGGGTGCTGCTGATGACGCTATTGTGGTGAGCTACTCACCGCTTGTGCATCATGCAGCCCAGTGGCCATGGTGCTGCCTGCCAGGCATGCTGCATTTGGGATGGGATGCTGGATCTCGCATGGAAGCATGACCCGCTCCAAGCATCCCTCTGTTCTTCCATTACCCATCCCTTCTTTCCCTCATCCTTGCATCCCTCTATCCCTCCATTGCCCCAGCACTGCGCCCGTCGCTACCCGCATGTCTCCTCGCTCATCCCCTCATCCCCTCATCCCCTCATCCCCTCATTCCTCCACCCCTGCCCCACTAATTAAGACGACCGCGCCTTTAAGGGAGTCAGCGGAGCTCCCTTCTTTGCCCCACCCACTCCCATGTTTCTCCCTTCCCCCATCCCTGAAACCCTCCCTCCCCCCCCCAGGGATATCACCTTATCCCTGCAACCCTCCCTCCCTCGCACATCACCTTATCCCCCCCATCCCGCCCTCGCTCCCCTGCTAACCAGGACGACCAGGGCGTGAGGGAGACAGCCGAGTTCTTCAGCACAGAAGCAGTTGTCCTGCCAGGCATGCAGCACGATGTGATGCTGGACCTGGCATGGAAGGGTGCCCCTTGCACGTCTTTCTTCACCCTCCATCCTCACCCCCCATCCCTGTGCACACCAGGACGACCAGGGCGTGAAAGAAACAGCCGAGTTCTTCAGCACGGAAACAGTGGTGCTTGCAGGCATGCCGCATGACATCATGCTGGACCTGGGATGGAAGGACGTTCCGTGCACTTGTTTCTTCATGCCCTCATTCCTCCATCCCTCCAACCCCACTAACCAGGACGACCAGGGCGTGAAAGAAACAGCCGAGTTCTTCAGCACAGAAGCAGTGGTTCTGCCAGGCATGCCGCACGACATCATGCTGGACCTGGGATGGAAGGACGCTGCTGATGCCATGCTGCAGTGGCTCGCAAGCCATGGGGCCATCCCCAAGCAATGACATAGGAGGTTGCATATACTAGTGTGACATTGTCTAAGTCACTCGATCTGCTCGTTGTGGAAGGATGCTGCGATGCCATGCTGCAGTGGCTTGCATGCAAACCACAGTACCATCCCAGCTGCGTGACACACTTGCGGTACACAAGAACCGTAAGGTTCTGTATGAATTACCGTACCGGTACCTTGCTCGTTGTGGAAAATACATTGATACCCATATACCATATACGGTACATACCGACCATGTGTGCGTATACATGAAGCATATTTTTTAGAGCACAGTGCGGGTTGGAGTGAACCTCCCTGTTTTTGATTTGATTTGAAGCATTCACAAAAGTGATTTTATATACAGTTTCATGTACAGTGACACTGCAGGCTCATGGTGGGTTGCTAACTGTCAAAGTTATATAATATCTTGCTTGCTGTTATATATCATTATGAACTGTTGGTGGTGCACCTTCTTTGTTAGATTGCTATATGTACCGTGTGTGCTATAGTGAACTCCACTCCATTCTCCTCATCCTTGTACAAACTCCCTCGATCCTCGTTGGGCCTAGGCTCCTAAGACTAGGCCCTAGTTAAACCCTAGTATCTAAGTACGTTCTTATCTTGACATGTTATCAGAGCCACCCGTTCCTCGGGTTTAAGTCTTCTTTCTTTACCCATGGTGAGCGCCTCGCTGGCCCGTCGCGCTACGCTCGCCTCGTCGCACCCTCGCTGGCGAAATTGCGCTTTCCTGCCCGTCCGTCGTGCCCCGTGCGCTCTGCCCGTCCGTCGCGCCTGTCGCCCTGCCCGTCGATCCGCGCCAGCGCCAGCACCTGCGACTGCCACCAGCCACAGCGCGGAACGCAAGCGCCAGCGCGGACGCTGTCGACGAGCGCCAGCGTCTGTGCGGACGACAAGCGCGAGCGCCAGCGCGGAGCGCAAGCGCCAGCGCCCGCGCGGACGCCAGCGACAAGCGCGAGCGCAAGCGCCAGCGCCCGCACGGACGCTAGTGACAAGCGCGAGCGCGAGCGCCTGCGCCACTGCCTGCGCCTCCGCCAGCGAAAACAGCAGCTACCGCCGCCCCCACCCCCCCGCCCTCCCTTCCGCTGCTTCCGTAGAGGGGGGAGGGGATGGGGGAGATGTGGGGGTGGCGGGTGTGAGCAGCCATCAGTCCAGCTGCAGCTCCTACCGCTATTGCTCCTCCTCTTCTCTCTCTCTCTGCCGCTGCTGCTACTGTGGGGGGGAGGTTCAAGTCCAGCTGCAGCATCAGCCGCCTCCTCCTCCTCTCATCCGCGGTCTTGTGCCTCTTGTGCCGTATGTGCCATTTCTTGCTGCTCCGTGTTTGTTCGTTCTGCTCGTGTTCGTTCGTTCTGCCTTTGTTTGTTCGTTCTGCTTGTGTTCGTTCGTTCTGCCTTTGTTTGTTCGTTCTGCTTGTGTTCGTTCGTTCTGCCTGTGTTTGTTTGTTCTGCCCGTGTTCGTTCGTTTGGCTCATGTATCTGTCCATGCTACCCGTGCCCGTTCGTGCCTCATCCCATGCTGCCCCGTGCTTCCGTGCTCCCGTGCTACCCGTGTCCGCTCGTGCCTCATCTCAAGCGTTGCTGACCGTCTTCGTTCGTGCGTCCCGTTGGTGAGGCTAAAGGGGTTGACTGAAAAGGGGGGTGAGGACTTGGAGGTTATTAACGGGGGGGGGTCGCATTGAGCTTGCGCGCTCATGCCCACCTAGCCCACCTCCTCTCCCTTTCCTCTCTCACCTCCCCCTTCGTAAAAAGGGTTCTTAAGCGGGTCCGCCGGCACTGGCCCCCCACCTCCTCTCCTCATCTTCTGTCCTCGGTGCACTCCTTCAGGGGGTGCCGACTGCACCAGTTCCTACCGCAAGCAGGCTAAGGGGGTGTGTCAAAGTTATATAATATCCTGCTTGCTGTAGTTACTGTAGTCATCATTATGAACTGTTGGTGGTGCACCTTCTTTGTTAGATTGCTATATGTACCGTGTGTGCTATAGTGAACTCCACTCCATTCTCCTCATCCTTGTACAAACTCCCTCGATCCTCGTTGGGCCTAGGCTCCTAAGACTAGGCCCTAGTTAAACCCTAGTATCTAAGTACGTTCTTATCTTGACACTAACTTGCCAGCCACTAGTTGCTTTGTGCGCACTGGAGCAATCTACACTACTATTTCAACATTGCCCAGCTAACAGGACCCACTTTCAGTACTGGTACTGGTAATGAGAAATTTACATGGCTCATTAGAAGTCAGAGGCAGTTACCGCGATCTCATCTCAACAAATAAATTACGTATCAGTAGAAGCAATCGTGCAACTGTACAACGCTACACCATATCCACACCACTGTAGATTTCACAGCTTACAGACGCTCACAGTGCCTCAGCCAACAGCCAAGGCATCCTGTGGTGGCAGTGGATTGCCAAGCTTGTCGTTTTTAGGCGCTGCAATATCAGCAGCACCCTGTTGGGACTTGTGAGTCGACTCACACGCCTGACTTGACTCACCCCCCATTCTCCCATTAAGACCTTTCTTATCCTCACTCACTATCCCATTCCCACTGCCACATTCACTCCCTCTCCTGTCACACCCTCCCTCTGCACCCTCCATAGCAACACTGCTGCTGCTGCTGCTAAACCTACTACTGCCACTCCTGCCACTCCTGCCAATCCCGACAGTCACACTCCCCCCATCACCAACCCCACCAGTCCCATTCGCTGCACTCCCCCTCTCCCGCCGTCTCTCCGGCTGTGGTGACAAAGCTCTCTCGATGCGGGTACCAGGAGGGGTGGTAGACCTCTGTAACCGCCGGGGAGGGGGCATGCGGGCCAACAGCCGGTCAAGAGACGACATGTCCTTGCCATTCCTATCCTCCTTCCCTCCCCATTTCCCCTCTTCTCCACTACCACTACCCGGCCCGTCTGTAGAGAACAGACGGCTGGGAGGGATGTGGAAGAGGGAGGAGGAAGAGGAGGGGTGTGTGGGAGCAGTGAGAGCGGTGGAGAGCGGTGTTGCCTGGTGCAGCACGCGGCCTTCGCTGCGGTCAAACGCGGACACCACAAACCCATGCTGCGCCAACTCCTCCAGGAACTTGGGCAGACTATCCGCTCCCCCTCCCATCCCTCCTCCTGCTGCTGCTCCGTTGCCAGCAGCTGCAGAGTCGTCAACGAGCCATGCGAGAGAAGAGGGAGCGGGCATGATATCAGACATGGAGAGAGATCGCGAGTGCCGCCCCCGCCTGCGCGCTGGGGGCTTGCCTGCTGCTGCTGTGGGTTTGGGCGGAGTGGAGGAGGCACCAGCTGATCCAGCAGCAGCAGCGTCCACGGCGGCAATGGCAGCTGCTGCGATGTCGGCGTGGGTTTGTCTGCGACGCGGGAGGGCTGACAGGAAGGCTGCATGCTCGTCAACTGCACTGCCAGCAGCAGCGGCAGCAGCAGCAGAGGGAGGAGCGGGAGTAGCAGTGGAAGCAGCAGGAAGAGCAGCAGTCAGCTGCTGCTTCTGCTGGCCTGCTGATGTGCTGGCTGCTGCTGCAGTCACGTGAGGGGACTCAACAGATGCAAGAGCAGCGGCGGAGGGAGGAGGGGAGATAGAGGAAGTAGGAGCGTCAAGCACTTCAGCAGCAGAAGCAGCACGAGGCATTGAGATGCGGGCGGGCATGGACCTTCCTCCTCCTCCTCCTGCTGCTGCTGCTGCTGCTGCTGCTGCTGCTGCTGCCGCAGCTTCTGCTGCTCCCTCTGCCAGTGCTGCTTCAGGGTCAAAGTTATCAAGGGGAGAGCCATACGATACAGGAGCAGGGGAGCTGCGGCGACGGCTGGAGTACGAAGCTGTTGATCCCAAACCAAAGGCCTTGGCTCGGGAAGGGGCTTGGGAGGTGCTGGAGGCTCGGGCGAGGGAGGGAGGCTTGGAGGGGCGGGCGCGGATGGGAGGGGGAGGAGGAGGCGGGGTGGAAGCTGCGATGACGAGAGAGAGCGAGGAGAGGAGCTCGATAAGAATGGCTTCGAACCGATCCTTGTTGGCGAAATGAAGGGTCTGTAGTGGAGGTTGGAGGGGAAGAGATTGAGATGAGAGGAGGGGAGGAAGGCAAAGAGGAAAGAGAGTGAAGGGAGAGGAGAGGAGCTCGATGAGAACGGCTTCAAACCGATTCTTGTTGGCAAAATGGAGGGTCTGTAGTGGAGAAGAGAGGGTCGAGGAAAGGAGAAAGAGGTGAGTGGAGAAGAGGAACGAGAGTGGAGGAGAGAGGGGAAAAGTTCGATTGAAATGGGTTTGAAACGATCCTTGCGGGCGTGCAGTAGGAGGGACAGAGGATGGAGCAAAGAGAGGAGGCGTTGTGTGGGCAGGTCAAAGAAGAAGGTAACTTTATCAGGAAAGCCACAAAGAAGTGCAACAAACAAAGCAAGCCAACTCACACGCACACCACCAGCAGGCAGCAGCAGGCAACCAAACCCACCTGCATCAGCAGCACCCACCTGCATCAGCAGCACCCACCTGCATCAGCAGCACCCACCTGCATCAGCAGCACCCACCTGCATCAGCAGCACCCACCTGCGCTGCCAGCTGCACATCTGCGCTGCCAGCTGCACATCTGCGCTGCCAGCTGCACATCTGCACTGCCAGCTGCACATCTGCGCTGCCAGCTGCACAACTGCACTGCCAGCTGCACATCTGCACTGCCAGCTGCACATCTGCGCTGCCAGCTCCACATCTGCGCTGCCAGCTGCACATCTGCGCTGCCAGCTGCACATCTGCGCTGCCAGCTCCACATCTGCGCTGCCAGCTGCAAATCTGCAAATCTGCCGCCCTGTGAGGCGGTCCCACACCCCCGTCACACACCCACCTGCACCAGTAACACCCTCTGTCGCCCTGCCACTCGCGCACTGTGCGACCGGTCGTTGACCCACTGCAGCGTGGCCTGGCTGAAGGGCATGAGCCAGCAGAACATCTGCGCGGCCAGCTGCCGCAGCTCCCCCAGCAGCACCTCGTCCAGGGGGCGCCGGCGGGAGACGCGCAGGCGGGAGTGCAGCTGATGGCGGATGAACGTGGGGAGCATGGCGTAGAGATCCTTCCTGCAGGGGCGTGGGGGAAGGAGAAAGGGGTTTACAGGGATGAATGCTCCCCCAGCAGCACCTCGTCCAGTGGACGCCGCCGGGAGACGCGCAGGCGGGAGTGCAGCTGGTGGCGGATGAAGGTGGGGAGGGCAGGGGGTTTAGGGGGGCAAGGTGGGGAGAGCAGGGGGTTTAGGGGGGCAAGGTGGGGAGAGCAGGGGGTTTAGGGGGGCAAGGTGGGGAGAGCAGGGGGTTTAGGGGGGCAAGGTGGGGAGAGCAGGGGGTTTAGGGGGGCAAGGTGGGGAGAGCAGGGGGTTTAGGGGGGCAAGGTGGGGAGAGCAGGGGTTTAGGGGGGCAAGGTGGGGAGAGCAGGGGGTTTAGGGGGGCAAGGTGGGGAGAGCAGGGAGTTTAGGGGGGCAAGGTGGGGAGAGCAGGGGGTTTAGGGGGGCAAGGTGGGGAGAGCAGGGGGTTTAGGGGGGCAAGGTGGGGAGAGCAGGGGGTTTAGGGGGGCAAGGTGGGGAGAGCAGGGGGTTTAGGGGGGCAAGGTGGGGAGAGCAGGGAGTTTAGGGGGGCAAGGTGGGGAGAGCAGGGGGTTTAGGGGGGCAAGGTGGGGAGAGCAGGGGGTTTAGGGGGCAAGGTAGGAAGAGCAGGGGGCTTAAGGGGGTAAGGTGGGGAGAGCAGAGGGTTTAAAGGGGTAAGGTAGGAAGAGCAGGGGGTTTAAGGGGGTAAGGTGGGGAGAGCAGGGGGTTTAGGGGGCAAGGTGGGGAGAGCAGGGGGATAAAGGGGGTAAGGTAGGAAGAGCAGAGGGTTTAAGGGGGTAAGGTAGGCAGAGCAGAGGGTTTAAGGGGGTAAGGTGGGAAGAGCAGAGGGTTTAAGGGGGTAAGGTGGGGAGAGCAGGGGGTTTAAGGGGGTAAGGTGGGGAGAGCAGGGGGTTTAAGGGGTAAGACGGGGAGAGCAGGGGGGTTAGGGCAGTTGGGAGGGATGGCAGGCAGTCATGAAGGCGATTGAGTGCAGCTGGTGGCGGATGAAGGTGGGCAGCATGGCGCAGCGGTCTTTCCTGGGGGGGGAAACAGGGGAGGGCAGGGCAGAAGTGTGTCATGCTTGTTTGCTTTGCCTCAGCACACACACACACACGCATAGAGCATGGGCAGCCCCGCCTGCCCCACTGTGCCCTCCCGCCTGCCCCACTGTGCTCTGCCCTCCAGGTGGCCGTGGGGATACTATGGGCGATCCAACGACCCATGCATGCATGCTACAGGCTCACCTCTTGTCGGTGAAAGCAGGGGTGCCGGGCATGGTGACAGCCAACTGGCTGACAGCCGCCAGCACACGCGCATAGAGCATGGGCAGCCCTGCCTGCCCCACCGTGCCCTCCAAGTCTTCTGGCCCTATGGGGTCCGGCCACCCATACACCTCCCTCAGATGCTGCCAAAGAATGCCGACCGCCACCGCCAGGGTCTGTGGAAAGGCGAGCGGAATCGGGTGGGACGAGGATGAAGGTGGGATGGAGTGATGAGAATAATAGACCTTCCAACGAAGCGGTCGAGCAAGCAACCACGCACAAATACACGGGATTAAATACAGGTTTTTAATTTGCAAGCAATCCAATCCAACATGAAGTGGCAGCTAAAGAAGCACCCAAGAAGGGATGGAATAGGAAAAAAATTTAGTCGACTAAAAAATCGACTCATCACATAAAGTGGCATCCAAGAAGGGATGGAATAGGAACATTCCAGACAGAGGGGGCAGCGGGAGGGGGCAGCGGGAGGGAGCAGCGGGAGGGAGCAGCGGGAGCAGCAGAAGCAGAGGAAACAGAAGGAGGGAGCAGGGCAGAATGAGAGGGAGAAGATTCACCCACCTTGGCCATTCTCTCGAGGCTGTGCGACCACAGAGAGCTCCTCTGCAGCTGCTGCACCTTCTGCCCCTGCACGGGTGTGCATGGGTGCGCATGGGTGGGCATGGGTGCGCACGGGTGGGTGGGCATGGGTGGGCATGGGTGGGCATGGGTGCGCATGGGAGGGCATGGGAGGGCATGGGAGGGCATGGGAGGGCATGGGAGGGCATGGGTGGGCATGGATGGGCATGGGTGGGCACGGGTGTGTATGGGTGGGTGTGCATGGGTGTGCATGGGTGTGCATGGGTGTGCATGGGTGTGCATGGGTGTGCATGGGTGTGCATGGGTGTGTATGGGTGAGCAGCACAAGCGGGCCTACGAGAAGGCATGCTTTGACCAAAGGAGAACCATCCAATGCCATCAAGTGCCATCAAATGCCATCAAATGCCATCAAATGCCATCAAATGCCATCAAATGCCATCAAATGCCATCAAATGCCATCAAATGCCATCAAATGCCATCCAGAGCCACCCAAATGCCACCCGGATGCCACCCGGATGCCACCCGAATGCCACCCGAATGCCATCCAATGCCGCCCAATGGCGTCACAAGCTTGCCTGGGTGACAAAGTAGTCGTCGGGGTACGACTGTGTGGGTTGCTTGTCCTCAAACGAGTATGCATCGCCGTCAGATGAAGTGCTGATGGGGAGGGCGAGCCAAGAAACACAGGCCAGAGGGTCACAGGGTTGACAAGCAGGGGTTCTAGGAGGCTGCTTGGCCAAGAACAGCCGTCGTACGTCTGTGTGGGCTGCTTGGCCAAGAACAGCCGTTGTACGTCTGTGTGGGCTGCTTGTCATCGAACGAGCACGCATCTCCGTCGAATTAAGTGGCGATGCGGAGCATAAGCATCGTGCTTCAATCCTGGTTATGCCTTTGACCAATGCTTCTAATGCCTTCACCCCAACCTGGCAAATTCCTCGCCCACTGCATCCATCTCGCGCTTCAAACTGCTTGATAACCACCTAAGTCGTCTCCAACCAAGACGTCTACACCTGTGCGCCAGTCGGCCTTTCAATGCGCACCTCACGAGTCACCACACCTTCATCCCCACCTGGCAACAGCCTCGTCCACTGCCTCCATCTCTAGCTTCAGAACGCCCGTTGGCCCTCTGAGAGGACTCGACCTTCCATAACCCCTCTCAATCCCTTCACTTCACCTTGCCACACCTTCAAACTCACCTGGCGATAGCTTCATCCAGTGCCTCCATCTCCCGCTTCAGAATGCCCGTTGGCCCCAGATGGTCTCGCAGGAACCTGGATACACATGCACATGCACATGCACATGCACAACATCGGGCACAGACGCACACACAAACATGCACGTACACACACACATGCACTTGCACACACACAAGTGCACGCACAAAAACGCATACACACACATGCACTCATACACATGCGCGTTTACAAGTTGGAAACTATGAGCAAAAACATAAGTTCGCTCTTGTACCTTGTGGTTCCCTCTTTAAGCCTCCCCACCCTTTTGTCATCGCCTCATCACTTCATCCCCTCTGCCCTCCCCACGGCCTTCTCTCCTTTTACACCCCCCTGCTCCCCTGTCCTCCCCACCCCCCCTTCTCCCGCCTTGCTCACCTCATCACTTCATCCCCTCTGCCCTCCCCACGGCCTTCTCTCGCTTCTCCCTCCTCCTCACCTCACATGCTCTTCCTTACCTGCTGCACCTCCCCCCCCCCCCCCAACCCCCTCACCGCCCTCCCACCCCTGCCTAACACTCTCCCCCACGGCCTTCTCCCCTTTTACACCCCCCTGCTCCCCTTTCCTCCCCTTCCCCCCTGCTCCCCTTTCCTCCCCTTCCCCCCTGCTCCCCTTTCCTCCCCTTCCCTCCTGCTCCCCTTTCCTCCCCTTCCCCCTGCTCCCCTTTCCTCCCCTTCCCCCCTGCTCCCCTTTCCTCCCCTTCCCTCCTGCTCCCCTTTCCTCCCCTTCCCCCCTGCTCCCCTTTCCTCCCCTTCCCCCCTGCTCCCCTTTCCTCCCCTTCCCCCCTGCTCCCCTTTCCTCCCCTTCCCCCCTGCTCCCCTTTCCTCCCCTTCCCTCCTGCTCCCCTTTCCTCCCCTTCCCCCCTGCTCCCCTTTCCTCCCCTTCCCCCCTGCTCCCCTTTCCTCCCCTTCCCCCCTGCTCCCCTTTCCTCCCCTTCCCTCCTGCTCCCCTTTCCTCCCCTTCCCCCCTGCTCCCCTTTCCTCCCCTTCCCCCCTGCTCCCCTTTCCTCCCCTTCCCTCCTGCTCCCCTTTCCTCCCCTTCCCCCCTGCTCCCCTTTCCTCCCCTTCCCCCCTGCTCCCCTTTCCTCCCCTTCCCCCCTGCTCCCCTTTCCTCCCCTTCCCCCCTGCTCCCCTTTCCTCCCCTTCCCTCCTGCTCCCCTTTCCTCCCCTTCCCCCCTGCTCCCCTTTCCTCCCCTTCCCCCCTGCTCCCCTTTCCTCCCCTTCCCCCCTGCTCCCCTTTCCTCCCCTTCCCCCCTGCTCCCCTTTCCTCCCCTTCCCCCCTGCTCCCCTTTCCTCCCCTTCCCTCCTGCTCCCCTTTCCTCCCCTTCCCCCCTGCTCCCCTTTCCTCCCCTTCCCCCCTGCTCCCCTTTCCTCCCCTTCCCCCCTGCTCCCCTTTCCTCCCCTTCCCTCCTGCTCCCCTTTCCTCCCCTTCCCCCCTGCTCCCCTTTCCTCCCCTTCCCCCCTGCTCCCCTTTCCTCCCCTTCCCTCCTGCTCCCCTTTCCTCCCCTTCCCCCCTGCTCCCCTTTCCTCCCCTTCCCCCTGCTCCCCTTTCCTCCCCTTCCCCCCTGCTCCCCTTTCCTCCCCCTTCCCCCCTGCTCCCCTTTCCTCCCCTTCCCTCCTGCTCCCCTTTCCTCCCCTTCCCTCCTGCTCCCCTTTCCTCCCCTTCCCCCCTGCTCCCCTTTCCTCCCCTTCCCCCCTGCTCCCCTTTCCTCCCCTTCCCCCCTGCTCCCCTTTCCTCCCCTTCCCCCCTGCTCTCCTTTCCTCCCCGCCCCCCCTTTCTCCCCCTCCCCTCACCTCATCACTTCATCCGCCTCCGCCTTCCCCACGGCCTTCTCCCTCTTCTCCCTCCTCCGAGCATGCGCTCTCAGCACCTGCTGCACCTGCCCCCCCACCGCCCCCCCGCTCTGCCGGGCCAATGCCGCCACGCCAGCTGTCAGCAGCAGCAGCTCATCGGAATACTCCAGGCCTGGGAGAAGATGGGGATGGGTGGGACCGTGTGGGATGGGTGGGACCGTGTGGGATGGGTGGGAGAGGGTGTGGGCAGGGGGAACGGAGGGGGCAAGTGTTTTGGTCCGGGCAAGCGAAAGTGTGGATTCGGAAAGGACTCCAAACCCTTGGAAGGTTCTCAACCCCTTTCTGACTCCTAAGAGGGGGCCCCAGCCCTGGCCTGTGTCTCTCACCTGCCATGCGCCACCGGAAGGTGAAGTCCCCCACTCCCAGCCGCTCCAGGTTCTCACTCTGCCCCCACCCACCCACCCATGCACGGCACGGGACACGGCATGCACGCATCGGTGGATACAAGCACGCATGCACACACGCACAGAAGCACACGTGCACATACACCCATGCACACAAGCACGCATGCACCTATGCACCCATGCACACATGCACACATTCACACACCCGGATGTAATCACGCATGCAACCACGTTACCACGCACACACACGCAAGTGATAGAAACACATCAGCAAGTTGGTTAATAACATGAGGCACTCTCATCCAATAAAACAGTTTCAAAGGGAGCATCTCGCCAATCAAAACCACCAGCGTTCTCACCCCGCAGGCCCCTTTGGATCAACAATTTCTCTGTGGTCTCCCAGGTCTTGCAATCAAGCCGCATGCTCCATCCATCCGCTACCGCGAAAATGCAGCTGATATTTGAGTTGAGAAACCTACAACTACGCACCTGAAGCTGCTGCCTCAGCTCCGCCACGTGTCCGGGCTCCAATTGGCTCCAGAGATCCAGGACTCGGTGCATCAGCCCGGCAACCTCGAACGCCAGGATGCCCATCGGACGGCTGAGGTCGCTGCACGCGATGCTCCTCACTCCGCCTCCGCCGTTGCCACCGCCACCACCGCCACTTTCGGCGCTGCTGGTAACGCTACAGCTGCATACATTAGCAATGTCGCTGCCGTTGCTGCTGCTGGTACTGCTGCTCGTAGCGCTGCTGCTACTGCCATTGCTGCTAGTGCTATTGCTGCTGCTGCTAGTGGTGATGCTACCGCCGGATAGGGTGCTGATTCTGCTGCTGCTTTTGGAGCTGGTAATCCCCGATACTGCTGGTTTCCTTACGAGGTTATTAGAACTGGTGTCGTTGATTGGTGGAAACTCCGCGTTTACTAACGCGTCGATCACACTGACCTGGTTACCCATGTAACACAAGCTATTGAGGCATTCTAGTGCGTGGTAACGAGGATACGGAGACTATCATTTTCTAACCTAAGGGTGATGGTCGCATCATAAGTCAGAATGGTTTGAATCGATTGAGTGCAGCCGTCGAGGAACGCAGACTATCTGATTCGCGAACTTCAAACGAGAGTAACGAAACGGGAAATGCGGACTCGCTGGCGCTTCGTCGAGTCCATCTGACGAGTTAAAAAAACGGACTGAAACCGAACTGCACTGGAAATAGTTTCTCAGTAGGTTTTATAGGTCGACCATTCCTCGCTTGCCTCCGAAAACTGAAGTGCGATGCTTGGCAGTTGGCTTGACAGCACAGAAAACGGAGATTCTACCCTGCTCTGGCCGGGCTATGTTGCTGTTTAGGTCAAGCCATATTCGTTCGTGGTCCATTTCTGGTGCGCAATGGTCTAAAGCGGTGGAATTTTTAAATCGCTCTCAAACGTGGTGTGACCGTAATAAACCGCGCGTCAAACGAATCCTGCACGAAAATTTCTGGCCCCTAGGACTTCGGTTTTGGTCTAGCAGGTTTGGGTGATAATGACAAAGAAACGCTGTCTGGCTGTCTTGTGCAGCCATAGGCGATTCACTCCCACACACACATAGGACTGTACTGAACGTGGAATAAATTCGATATTAGCAGAAGCGCTTTTATCAAGGTTAAACCCTGACAGACAGCCCACAGTTCCAGTTTCACGCCTGTCGTCGAAGGTGGAGCAGATGCGTCGCCTCGCCAGAGGACACGTGTGGCGCGCAGCGACGGCCGTCAAAAGAGATGACGGAACAAACTGCCAACAAGCGCCTGTCAAAAACCTGCCTTTTCACCCACCGCTACAATATTCATGATCACATATTACATTCAGCCTTACAAATTTATTAATGTGCACATAAATGTATTGCACATAACGCTACCTAGACAAATTAAGGGGATTATGGACAGCGCCAGACATGGCACGAGGCAGCGAATTTGGCACCAACACATACTTGCCTCTCACGCCCAGCTTTCTGAGCACCGACTTCAACTGCTGGAGGTTCATTGTGCGAGGAACCACTGCATCCACGCCCGCATGCATGCACTGCTGCATGGCTTGGTCCAGCCCTGCCAAATCCCACCTGTTCATATTTGCCACCGCTATAACTACTGTGCGTGGAACAGCATACACATTCCCTGGCTCCTCTTGTAGTGAATCCGAAGCAACCACTCCAGTTGCTCCTCCTAAAGCTGCTGCTTCTACTGGGCTGGTGACTGCTCCTGCTGTTGCTGCTGATGTTGATTGTTCTGTGTTCGCCTCAGCGCCACTGAAACAACTATCAGCATCAGGCTCAGCCGCAGCCGGCCTTGGGAACTGGTTACCATCAGCATCAGGCTCAGAACATTCTTCCCCATTCCTGGCCTTCCATCCTTGCCTTCTCCCCTCCGCATCCCGAATGCTGCGGATGCATGCGAAGCCATCATGCGCCATGGCCTGTTGACCAGCACAGGGACACCACGAAGTACTCAATTCCAAATTCCCAAAAACAAGTAAGCATGTGAGAGACAATCCATCCCATGCCTAAGAGATTAACGCAATTGGTGTGAAGCAAAAACTGCTAGCGTGTAGGCCACCCACGTGTGGAGACAAACAGAAATGACAGCTTACCTCCAACTCCATGACCACGAGAGAGAAAGGCGCCCCTGGCGTTGAACCAGCCTCCCGCGCATCTGCTGCCACGCCCTTGTCACTTGATGCCACTCGCTCTTCTCCTTCTCCTGATGCTGCCCACTGGCCACTCAGTGATGATGGCTCGTCTCCGAAACCTTCCAATAGCCGCTGCCTGCCTGCTTCCACCTGCTGCTTGCTTCCCGCACTCTCACTTTTCTCTTCAAACCTGTTCCCCTGTTGTACAACCCCATTGGCTGGGAGCTCGCACACGGACTGTTTGAATTGTTCCACAGCCTCGGTGACTGTACCCGCCGTGACAACATCGAAGCCGCACCGCTCCAGCTGCTGTGGTAAATCATTGTGCAGAGCTCCCACCAGCCCCAATCCCATGCCGGCACCTGTCGCCCCGTCAGCCACCAGGGCACGCACACAGAGAGACGCGGATGGGTGCAGAGTGGTGGAATGGAAGGAGGGGGTAAAGGAGGAAGAGATAGCAGCTGATGGGGGGATGGGGGCTGATGAAGGAGCGTCAGCAGATAACAAGGCTGCCGTCCCGGTTGCTACTATGTCAGATGCAAGCATGCCGCAGGCTCGCAATCGCTTCCCATTTGCCAGCATCCCTCTGGCAATACTGGTACTGTCGACTGCTGCTGCTGCTGCTGCTGCTGTTCCTGCTGCCGGCCCTTGTTCTCGTTCTGCTGCTCCTGCTGCTGCTGTCTCTGTCCCATCTAATCTTCCTGCAGATGCTGTTTCAGCAGCAGCAACATCACCACAACCACCACCAGCATCAACAGCTTCGTCGCTCCCCCCAGCTGCTAAAGGCAGGCGTGCGTTAGCCGAGGGTGGCAGGGCAGCAGATGGCTGCAAAAGACAACCATTCGGCTCCCACCCAGGAGAGAGAGGGGGGTACGGGGAGTGCGACAGGGGCGACAGCAGCTGCACAGGACTCAGCAACGGATTAGCTCTTTCAACGAGGGGACAACCCTCCCTCTCCCCCTTCCCGCTCCCTACACCCTCCCTTCCGAATGACCCCTCGTCCCCCTTGCTGCTGCACCTGTCGCCCTCGTGACCAGCAGTGCGCAGCACCTCAGCTGCTCGCCGCCGCTGCACCCAAATGGCAGGCAGACCTGCTGCACCGTGCCTCGCTGCCCCGGACTGACTCACTGCTGCAGGGGCAGCCGCAGCAGCAGTAGCAGGGACAGCCGCAGGAGCAATAACAGCAGCAGAAGGAGCAGCAGCAGCAGGAGCAATAGGATCAACAGCAGGAGCGGCAGGAGCAGGAGCAGCAGCAATGGGAGCAGGAGTAGTCATAGCAGCACTTGGATTAGCAGGAGAAGCAGTAGCAGCAGTCGTAGCAGTAGTAGCAGCAGGAGCAGCAGTCGCCGTGCTCATTCCAATCTGAGGCTGTTTCTCCGTTATATCTGGAAAACAGAGAATCCTAGACGAGGGTGACTGGGAGACGGAGGAGGGCGACTCCTGCAGCAGATGAAACCGTTCTGCTTCCAACTCTCGAAACTGCCGTTTCATCTCATACTCACTCTCATCAAAGTGCAACCTGGGCGAACGTTTCATCTCCAGAGCCAGGGATTTCATCTCGCAAGGCACAGACGGAATGGAAACGGGATGCACAGGCATATATCTGATGCTCGTGGGGTTGACAGCAGCAGCTGCAAGGGGGGCGCGTTCAGGTGAGTGGGAGAGTGAGGAGGACTCAGGTGCAAGAGGATTGGGCGAGGAAGGTATGGGAGTTAGCACCTTCTCTAGCACTGGGGCTCGCGCAGGGCTAGACAATGAAGCACACGGGTTGCGTGAGACAGTGTGAGACGAGACGGCATGAGTTGAGATTGTGTGGGAGGCGTTGGAGGGGAGGAATCTGCGTGTTGCGCCCACGCCGCTGCTCTCCAGGACCTCCCGCGAGGGCAGAATCTCCCTGGGCGTGTGCAGCTCCGGGGGACCCCTCACACCCTCGGGAATGTCGCCTGGCGATTCTGATGATTCTGGTGATGCTGATGGCGGTGGTGATGTTGGTGATGGTGATGATGCTGGTGATGCCATTCCATCTCTCATCTCCATCTCACATATGCTCACTCTCACTCTCACTCTTGCTCTCTCTCGGACCCCATCTCTCCCCGTTTTCCTCCTGCATTGCCCACTCTCGCTCGGCCCTCTTGGCGCCGTAACCACCGTCGGATCCGGGCGAGGCGATGAGATCGCACGGTCGGGAGTGACTGAAAGGGGAGAGACAGACCGGGGAGTTGCAACGAGGAGAAACAGGGGAGTGACAATACGGGGAGTCTCTGTCCCCCCTGATGTTGCGTCTGCTGCCACGCCTCTTCTCATCCACCCACTCCTCCCGTACGACCACACCCCCTTTATCCAGCCCGCCGCTGCTGCTGCCGCTGCAGCGACTGAAAATCCTGCTGTGGCCCTCTCCTGCATTCTCCCCGTCCTGCCTGTTAGCTCCGGGGCTCCACTTGTCCCCTCCCCCACCTCCTGCCTCGCTCTCTCCTCCTCCTCCTCCCTCTCCGTCCGTCGGCTGCTTCACTGCACACAGAGCAACTCCCTGCTCGCCGCCAGCTTGAGCCGACCCAGCAGCAGCGGAAAGAGGAGCAACACCGAAGGCAGCAGCCGCCTTAGCAGCAGCGGCTGTAGCAGCAGCAGCGGCGGTGGCAAATGGTCGAGGTGACGTCACAGCAGCAGGTGGGACGACAGGAACGGATCCCACGGGCACATATGAGGGCATGGGCGTGGGCGTGGACACGGGAGGGGGCGTGTGGAGAGGCATGACGACGCAGAGCACACCGTTGGCGGCACCCACGGCGTCTGTGCGCATGCACGCGTGCACCTGCACACGCAGCTCCCGCCCAGGTGACGATTGCTCGGACAATCCCTGCCCAGTTGCCGCCTCGCCAGGTAACACCTTCCTCAGCAGCGCCTGCTCCTGCCCTGGTAGCACCTGCTGCTGTGCGCCACACTCTCCGTCGCATTCCACGTCGCGCTCGGAGTCGCACTGTGCGTCACACTCGGAGTCGCGTGAGGTGCGCGTGGCGAGCAGCATGGTCTGGCTGATGGGCTCTTCTCGCAGCATGGCTGCTCGCAGCACGTCGCTGCCATGCCTGAGAAACGGGGACGAGAAGAGAGGCGGAAGAATTGAGTCAACTCAATGAGAGGTGCAGCATGGTCTGGCTCTCTCTGCTCGCAGCACATCGCTGGCATGCCTGGGGAATGCGGGCCAGGGGGCACATCGATGGATTATGGGAGAGGGTAAGAGAGGGAGAGGGGGAAAGGGGGAGAGGGTAAGAGAGGGAGAGGGGGAAGGGGGAGAGGGTAAGAGAGGGAGAGGGGTAAAGGGGGAGATGGGGAGCGTGGGAGCGAGGGGAGGGAGGCGGGAGTGAGAGGATTGGGGAGTGGGGAAGGCTTCCGGCTGCACTGACTTAACTCGGTGCAGCAATTTGACCAAAGCTGCAACCCCTGCTCTCCGCTCCCACCCTTCCCTCCCCCGTCTCCTTGTCCCTTCCCACCACCTCCCTTTCCTCTCCCCACCAATTGTGTGCGTACCCCTTCCCTCCACTCCCCCCTTCCGCTTTCTACCGGCTCCCCTTCCTCTCCCCACTCACTCGTGCGCAGACCCCTTCGCGGGTCGCAGCAGCCTTCCCGGAAACCTCCCCATCTGCGCCACGTCATCCCGGCTCCAGCCTGTAAGCTTCGCCATTCGTCGGTTCCACATCACAAATGTCAGGTCCCTATCGGGAATTGCGTTCGAGGGGCAAGATGGGAGGTGGGAGAGGGGCACAAGAAGGCACAGGAGTCAGTTGGGAGCAAATACGACTGAAGAAAGAAACAAATAAAAGAAGAAGAAGAAAGAAAGAAAAAAAGAGAGAGAGAGAGAGAGAGAGAGAGAGAGAGAGAGAGAGAGAGAGAGAGAGAGAGAGAGAGAGAGAGAGAGAGAGAGAGAGAGAGAGAGAGAGAGAAAGAAAGAAAGAAAGAAAGAAAAAAAAAAAGAAAGAGAAAGAAAAAGAGAAAGAATGAATGAAATAATGAATGAAAGAGAGAGAGCAAGAATGAATGAATCAATGAGAGGGAAAGCGAAAGAAAGAAAATTCAAAGAAGGGTTCCTGACGGGCTCTTTACGTGCAACCACTTCTTGCGTGACCTCCAAACCCGTTCGTACCTGATGCAACCGCAACTAACCTCTCCGTACCACTCACCTATCCACGGCGAAGGCTGCGACGGGCAGTTCGTCGGCTGGGATCAGCGAATCGGGGCACCATCGGAATCGACGGTCGTCAGACGGCGACGCCATCTGCGGCCCGGCGAGCTCCAGCACGAAGTCCAGCGCTGCGCGCCGATGTGCGCTCGTATCCTCCTCCTCCCCCGCTTCCTCTTCATCCGCCTCCCAGGTGCTGCGCATTACCCCGCCTTCTCCGCCGTCACTTGCGCCGCTTTCCCCGCCTCTGCCGCTGCTGTTGCTACTGCCACCGCTGCTGTCGAGGCGGGGACCCCGGGGAGAAGCGGGGGCGAGCGGAAGCGAACTGAGCGGATTGCGAGGCGAGTTGTGCGGATTGAGACGCGGATTGTGAGACACCTCGAAAGAGCTGAGTGGAATCGTTGACAGCAGCGGTAGCGGCAGCGGCAGCGGCGGCGACGGCGGTAGCGGCGGCGGGGCCTTAGGTAGCTGGCGACGAGTGGTTACTACAGCGTCGTTTGCGGCGAGCGAGCACAAGAGGTCGGAGGAATTATCGACCCGGGATGGCAAAAGCGCAGGAAAAACTGGCCACTGCTTCGGCTGCGTGAAAGACGGAGGCCGAGGGAGAATGAGACTGTTTGATTGACGTGTCGACGCAGGGAAATGACGAGGCGGGTCGAGTTGCTGACGCGGAGCGGGTTTTGGCTGACAAGGCATGCTAAGGAGGTCCGTCCATCCTTGTGAGCACGTGGAATTGTCTCCAAATGGAACGCTATAGCCGCGCCACGTGTCGTCCGGGCATCCTGGAGCCATATCTTGCCACGTGTCGCGCATCCGTTCACAGGAAGAGGGTGAAGAGAACTGCGATTGTATTGTTCGATGGGAGAGCCACGTGGACATGTGACCTTCGTAAGGAGCGAGCGGACGGAAGGATCGAAAATATTTCTCTTGTGTTGAGCGGTGTCACAGAAGGTGAAGCGAACGGCAGGGTGCATGCGTCTCGATGTTCCTAACTTTTAGCGCGTTTTATTGTAATCAACATCTTTCACTCTTTAGTACTAGCATTGCTTCCATAGCACAGATGCGGACACAGAGACCAGTAAACGCTGTGGCATCCACAGAAGCTACACGATGCAGGATGAAAAGGTTATTGCGCGAAGGAAGTCCAGTGAACTAGGAGATACGCATGCCTGGACGAAGAGAAAGGAACAAACCAAACTGAGCCTTCAAGGTTGTGTCCCCTGATCGGCCATAAAACTGTGGAGAAGCTTGCAAGGTTTCTCAGTAGACCTTGCCGCCGCTTTTCTCGCACTCAGGTTTTCCGCGGCAATCTCAAAGCTCCTGGTTCTGAGAGGAATTTGTGGCCTACACCCAACCACACCCATTGGAAACGATC